CCCGCCCCCCCCGCCCAGCTGTTTCTGAATAGGAAAGAACTTCAGACATTGGTCATCATCACAGTTGTGTTTATGTTGGTAAAGTGGTGCCTACCGTCTTCCGCCCCGGACATGACGCACCTTGACAATGAATGTATACAAGCTAATATTCCGGTCAGGTACAGCCAAAATGAGGGTGCATTGTGTTCAGGGAAAGGCGTTAGCATCTGCGAGTTGACAGCCGTATGTGTCTCCATATTCTGTTCGTTTGTGGTCATTCCTCCCCCCCCTCCCCTCTGCTCTCCACCCCCCAACCTCCTGGCCCCCCCCCCTCCTCCAGGTCTTTCGTTCTTGTCTCATCTCTTGTCAGTATTTTGTTGTTGTCACTCTCTGTTCACCTTCATGACTTGCTTCCTCTCGCTGACTTGCTGGCTTGCTGGCTTGTGTCTCCTCTCTTGTCACTCTCTGTTCACCTTGATGACTTGCGCTCCATACCTTCCTGGCAAGCAAATCTTCGTCAAAGTACAAAGCCATTTGTAGAAATGACCCTTCCCCTGCCCGTATGTTTCTACTTTTCAGCACCATGTCCTGGCTGTAGTGGTTACGATGCTTGGCTCTTGAGGCGGTTACGATGCTTGGCTCTTGAGGCGGTTACAATGCTTGGCTCGTGAAGCCGAGGTCGCCGGTCCGAATCTGTGCTTGCCCGGAAGAAGGCCTTTGGTCCAGAGGTACTGATCTATAAACTACTATAAACTACTACTTTCCAAGCTGGGCTATGGCTGATTGCTCTCTGGGTCAATGGCACCTGACTCTTCGGTGTAGTTCTAATTCTAGCGATCACGTGCTAGCTGCTGGGGCTGGGTCCAGTCTCAGCTGTTTGCTGCCTTTTATCCGGGAATGCTACCGTCTTTCCCCATTAAACCACCACTACCTTTCCCTCATATTGGCCACGGTGGGGGGTTCCCGCACGCTTCGAAGGCCAAAACGAAACAGCGCCCGCCGATGAAATTTATCAACGGAGGCCGCCATTCGGCCCAGCCCCTTATGCGGTATAGGCTATATTAGTATATTCCCACTTTTCCCAACACGGGGAAAGGTAGCGGCAGTTTAAACTGCCATTCCTACACCCCCCACTGTTCATGCCAACCTCATTGGCAAGTACCGGCCCTGGCCCGCGGGGGAGAGGGCCGGTAGAGCGATGGGAGGAATGGGCCTGTGGGCCTGAAAAAATCAAACACTAGTTGTGAACAATAGTCCTTTGGCATGGAAAAGACGTGTGCAGACCACGTCCAATGCCGTTAAAAGAAAAAAAGCACAAAAAAGAAACACAAAAACTTGCCCCCCCCCCCCCCCCCCCCCCCCCCCCCCCCCCCCCCCCCCCCTTCCTTTCAAGCAAAAAAAAAAAAAAAAGGTGATCATGCGACCCGCTCGAGCTGAGAGTTGGGGGTGCACCTGTCGTGGCTAGAGTGGGCGGCGGTGTTGCAGCTGGGGCGGTAGTGGAAACACTACAACAAAAACGAAAAACAAAAAGGAAAAAAATTCGAAACGTTGTGCCTTCAGTCCCTTTTTCATTCATGTTGCTGGCCAAATGTGCGGCATTTTGATTCATTGCATGGCTGGTACTTGTCACTTTTAGGCTCAGCTAAATGCATTGTTTGGTTCACGCACCGGAGCTCGGTCAGACTTTGTGGTTTTAGTTCTAAAGTGAGATCACTATATGGGGGTTGCATTCGGAGTGTTTTTTGAGCCAGATAAGCTTGAATCACCTTTTTTTTTTTTTTTTTTTTTTTTTTTTTTTTTTTTTTTTTGAGGAAAAGATATGGTAATCCAGTTTTGGATAGGGAGCAGCAGGTGTACTCGTGTGCCCTTTTCGTATTGAAAGGGCAGGTCAACCACCCAGATGGGTGCCACGATGCTGCAATGAACTTGAGATTTTCAGCACTTTTCAGTGCTGGGGGGGGGGGTAAACCTGGGGCTGAAAAGTTGGGGTCCCTGTTAACCGCTTGTGATTCTTGGAGTTTGTGCAGCAGATTGAGAAGGAGAGAGACGGGGGACTCTGAATTTGTGTTTTTAATTCAATTTTACTTGAATTTTGAGCTTCCGCTGTGCATATCACGAGTCCAATGTGGTGTGGTGCTCTCTCTCCAAGTCTGCTTTGTCACTTTGCTTGTGTATGGGAACATGCTGATTCTTGAATGGATGCAATCTCAACCAGTCACATCGCAATGTACTCTGTGGTTGGTCAGTTATCGCATCCAGTTTGCGTCTTTGGGCTGATGTCAGTCACCCATCAATTGCCGATCTTTCGACGCTTGGCTTTGTGTGCTCTGACTTCCGCTGTGTTCTGGATGGAGTAGGTTCTCCAGGATTGAGCGCCCATCTTCCCCCCGTCTCCTTCCCCTTTCCCTTTCCCGCTTCCCACCTGGTGTCGCACCCTTCTTAGTCCTACCTCCCGGCGTTCTGACATCCCCAACAGACTTTCACAGACCCTCAATCTGACACGGGATGCGTACTTGTTCTATGATCTTCGCTTTGCAGGTTCGCTATGTCCCCAAGCCTGCTCCCCAGGATGGTGCGTCACTCAAGGTACGCTTGAATCGTCCTTAGTTGTTTGTTGACTGATGATTGAGCTTTCTCTGTTTGTTTTGCAGTGTGCACCAGTGGGATTGTTTTTCTTTTCTTTTCCTTCTTCTTCCGCGAAGGAGATGGACCCGAGTAGGACATTGTATGATGCCATTGTACTTGGTCAACTTGGTTCTTGCTCATACCTCATAATTGACGACATTTGTCATGGGTGTGCAATGTGCATCCTTCAGCATGTGTAGCACACAGTATGCGCCAGTTGTTTTGTGCATGGGTGTCCTGGATGTGTAAGGTCCAGCTGTAAGGTGTGACACAGAACTTAGTCTCACACCTGGGATACCAGGCCCGGCCGGGCCAAGGCCCGGGTCAGGGCCCCGGATGGCCCTAGCACAAAATGAAAAGAAATGAAAAATAAAAAGAACATCTGGACAAAATATATGTTATGTACAATCATAACACGAACAACTTTCGGCTGAGAGTAACTTTGGAGATCCATACTAGATAGTCAGGTCCCGGATGACCCTAGCACAAACTGGAGAAATGAAAAATGAAAAAACATCTGGACAAAATATATGTTCTGTACAATCGTAACACGAACAGCTCTCGGCTTGAACCGACGAGCCTCTTTGGAATTCGTACCGGCGATATCTTTGGAATTCCAACTAGATAGACGAAAACAAAATCTGATTAAGGTATATCTCAATTAATAGAAAAATGGAACAAAATACCAACGAGCCTAGCTCAGGGTATGCTCACACTAGGCCCTCCAAATCACAAATTTGCAAAATGAGCGGCCAGATGCAGTCGTTCCTTTACAAGGACTCAATCTGGCCGCTCATTTTGCGATTTTGCAATTTAGAGGGCCTAGTGTGAGTATGCCCTCAGTTGGTACGGCTACGAACTTTTGAAATGCAGACCCAAGTTCGAACCCAGCTACTATCAGATGGCCAGAACGAAATAAATTCCGAGTTACCTGGCCTGGTCAGTTCAACGATGATATCTGAAGGCCGTTGCCCTTTTTAAAATTTAATTTATTTTTAAATCGAAGGTAAATATGAAATGAAAAATCTCATTTGACTGCCACGAAACATTCAATGGGAACGGAAGATTTCTGAAATGCAAAAGCTCATAGGCGACCAAGCATGAGTGATCCAAGTTGAAAGCAGAATACAAACACCGAGGGCACACCAGTTAGAAGCAAACTGGACACTGAAGTCCTTTGCCAAAAGAAAGCACAACTCTCTCGCCTCCAATAAATAATTGATACAACAACAATTTAGTAGCCCGACGGTCATGTGTTCGCCAAGGCAACTGATGGCCTTCTCCCTAAGGGAAGATGCCACCTTCGCCTGTGACTCCTTCCTGAGCCAAGACCTGCCAACACACTGTGCTCCTTCTGCCTCCCAAGCTGACCTGGCAACGCAGTGTGCTCCTTCTGCCTGCGGCAGCACACTGTGCTCCGCTGTGCCCAAGGCAAGATATTGTGCTCCTGCCTATGACAAGCCGGTCTGTGCACCCTCTGGCCGTCTACCTTGCCTGGGATGCCACCATCGCCCACGACTTCTGTCTAAGCCAAGACCTGGCAATACAGCAAGCTCCTTCTGCCTCCTAGGACAAGACCTGGCAATGCAGTATGCTCCTTACGCCTGCGGCAGCACAGGGTGCTCCTTAACGCCTGCGGCAACACAGTGTGCCGCTTATGCCTGAACCACAGTGTGCTCGACCACAGCGAGGCAGTGTGCAGGTTCTGCCCAAAGCAAGACGGTGTGGTCCTTCTGCCTAGGCAAGACGGTCTGTTGGACCCTCTGCCTTTCTGCCTGGCCCCTTGGGCGTTTGACATACTGTGAGTCCCTCTGAAAAGAGGGAGTGCCTTCGGGAACACGGATACAGGTGGTGCATGGCTGTCGTCAGCTCGTGTCGTGAGATGTTGGGTTAAGTCCCACGACGAGCGCAACCCTCGTTTCTAGTTGCCATTATGGAACTCTAGAGAGTCTGCCGGTGATAATCCGGAGGAAGGTGAGGATGACGTCAAGTCAGCATGCCCTTGGCTGATGGCCTACCCCGCACCCCCGTCTTGCCGTGAGTGATCATCGCCTTCCAGGCGGTTTCTCATCGTGTTTGGCCTCGAGGCTGCGTTTTTTCCTCCCTTGCCGGTAAACACAGCCACAGAGAGAAGAGAGCACAGACAGGTTCATCGACGAGAGAATGAGGGGGTAGGTGCCATAGCTAGGAGCAGTGAGTAGGTGGTGGTAGGAAAGGGAAAGGTGCCTTGTGAGAGAGCCATGACATGTGGGAGCATTCATGGACCGTGGTACACCTGGAGCTGGCCCAGTCATAGCTTCTATATGGTTGATGCTCATCCCGAGAACAGTTATCCTCAGTCGTTTTCGTTTCCGTCGTCTCATGAAAACCGTTGTTTGTTTTCTCTTTTGTCCTTTTTTTCGCTTGTAGTTTCCTGAAAGTGCTTGTTTGCCCCCAAGCTGTATTATAGTTGACGGACAAGAGCTTTCACAAACACAAGCACACACGTGGCCCGTGTTGATGAATAGTAAACACATAACTGTTACCGTCTTCCCCCAAACATAAAGCAATCTGATTCTGAATGTATACAAGCCATTTTGCCGGTGGGATGCAGTTGTATTGAGGGTGCGTGCCTGTTCGGGGGAAGACAGTAGTAATGGTTAGTAAACAGTTCATGAGTGCTAGTCCGGGGGCCCAGGCCGCATTGTTTTCTTTTCTTTGGCTGTTGTTAGCGTTCTCTTTACCCCCCTTTTTTTAATTAAAAAGGGGAAAAAAAAGCAAGTACACATGGGGGCGGGGGGGGGAGGGAATCTCTTTAAAGGGAAATCGAGGCATTTGGTTTCTTCCCTTTTGGCCAACTTTTAGCCCTTGATTTTATAGGAAGTAGGAGTGTGAGTTGAGATGATCTTTTTGGCATGCCAGGGGCATGACACTTTTTTGTTACCGTTTTCAAACTTCAGAGTTGTAAGGAGAGAATGCGGATCCTTTTTCTGATGAGCTGGAGAGGAGGGCTTCTGTCCATTGGTTTGGACTTGGGGACGTGACTTACGGTGTGATACGCAATTGATGTAAGCCCTTGGTACTGGGCGCTACACATTGGGGTTATATCAACACACACACACACACACATATACCACATTGCACCACCCCGGCCATATAGCATCAGCCACCTTCCCCACACTGTTCCACCCAGCCCACATAGTATGGTCAGGTGCACTTAGCATGACCCACCCCACATACTACCTGGCAGCCAGTGAGAGTCATGGTTGCGTATGTGTTCCTCATGTACATAGTGGGTGTGGTTCTCGTTTGGGGGTGGCTTCTCTGTGAGGGGTTCTTTTATTTTTGNGGGGGTGGCTTCTCTGTGAGGGGTTCTTTTATTTTTGGGTGGGGCCCATCCGACATAGGGGGGGGGAGAGAGGGGGGGAGAGAGGGGGAGAGAGAGAGAGAGAGAGAGAGAGAGAGAGAGAGAGAGAGAGAGAGAGAGAGAGAGAGAGAGAGAGAGAATGGGATGTTTGGCTGCTATCTTGGGAGGACATGGTGAAGGAGGGCGAGGGGGGTAGTGGAGGAGGGAGATGGTATCTGTGCAAACGAGGCACAAATGGTATCCGGTGCAAACAAGGCACAAACCACAGCGGGCAGTTTCCTGTTTTTGGTTCAACTGTCAGACAGTCTGCAGTGGAATTTTCTGTGACCTGTGCTGATTTCCTCTAGTTGTAGTTGCCTCCTGTTAGCGGTGTGCTTAGCTGAGTCTCACAGACCCCTCACCCAGCCCAAATAGCATCACCCATTTACCTCACTGTGTACCGCCCAGGTCATATAGTATCGTCCAGTCCCCATAGAATGACTGAACCTACATAGTACGCCACAGCCAGTGAGAGTCGTCTGTGTGGTTCTTTCGAGTAACTTTTGGGGGTGAGTTCTCTTTAAGGGGCTCCTTTTTTTTCACTGGGTTTCTGACTTTCTAATAAGTTTCTATGCATGATGGTTTTCTGGTGACATGAAAATGATCAAATACATAACCCTATACCATGTGCATCCTGATTTGTGTGTGGTCGAGTAACTTCAGTTTCTACCATGTCCGGATGTGGATGCACCCTCTCTGCTGCGAGCAGAGCTGTGGTGCGTCGGATATAATGATTATTATCATTGAGTTGCAATTTCTTCGATGAGATATATTCTGGGTTTTCAAGGTTTTGGCATGTGGCTTGTACTTGCAAGTTGGGGGGTGGAATGTTTGGACTTGTGTTATTATAATGATTATTATCATTGAGTTGCAATTTCTTCGATGGGATCTCTTCTGGGTCTTTGTGCTTGATGGATGTTCCTGTCTTTCAGGTTTTGGCATGTGGCTTGTTCTCGCTAGTCGGGGGGTGAAATGTTTGCCGCTCATATTGAGTCATTCGTGAACTCAGTCTCTTCCTTCCATATCCTTGTTCTCCCTAACGCAATCGTTTACCTGTGCATATGTGGATGCTGTACATCTTCTCCCACTATTGACCGGGCTGACTGTGAATCCGTTTGGATGTATCGTAACTGGGGTTGGATTTCTGAAACAGTGGACGGTCCCATGGCTGGTGCCAAAGTCTGTTCTGCAAGAGGTCCTACAAAAACTGCATCTTCCTCTGCCAGTCTACTCAACAACAGACATGTCGACTGCGAAAATGCCATTATTCGTAGGGGAAGTAAGGCTCTTTGATCAGGTCTTCACAGGAGAGCCAAAGAAATCAAAGCGTGATGCAGAAGCCAGTGCAGCGGAAAAGGCGATCTTGTCCTTTTTGCAAGGTATGCTTTCAACCACCCTACGTATGGTTTTTTATCGGCCATAGGTGCGTTGCTACGTGCCGGGTTCCGCTGCCACGTCTGAAAGAGGGCCGTGCAACAGGTTGATGATATGTTAGGGTTTTGGCGACGGTGGAGTGGTGTGCTGCTTTTGTCGGTCACTGCGGTGCGACCTCCTGATGCAAAAGTGAGCTCTGTGGTGAGATTCCACGAAATGCGGTCCATGTCGAACTTTCTCAAAATGAGAACGGAAAAGGCAGAGGCACAAGTCAGAGCCCATAAGATCGAAGCTGCTTCCCCATTTGTCAGAAGTGAAAAAGGGGAGGTGTGTGGCAGGGCCTGCAAGAGAAAAGCTGTGGTGCCAGGCTGTCCTTTTCTTCAGTGCAAAGGTGGTGGCGTGATGCCACTGGGTCTAGTCTGGTGGCATGTTGTGTTCCATGCGCTGCCAGGCACACACAGGCACACGCAGGCACACACAAGCCGTGCATGCCAACCCACCCACACACATGCACGCACACGTGGTACACATGCACATACACGACACGGATGCTCATGAACACACACACACACACATGTGCAAGTGTGCCGCTTCGGTGGCAGACGGGTGTGTGGGCACTTGGCGCTGAACCACACAAACGTGGCCAACCCTTGCATCTTCTACTATACTCTCTATCTTCTTTTGTTTTGTGGATGTGTTGTGATGATTCGTGGATAGAATACAGAGAGAGAATTTGGGTTTTATTATAACACACACCCCGACCATTTTGGGACATGGCTGCACTCCCCGAGGTCACGGGTGTGAAGGTTCCCACCCTCGGTGGGGCGGGGGTGGGGTTCTTCCAGGGGTGCTGCAGGGGCAGCGTTGTTCTGGGGGCTAGGGGGTGGAAGTTGGTGGTGTGGGGGCGGGGGGGGGGGCAGGGTGGGGGGCATGGGGACGGGGTCTCAAGGTTATGGGGGCACGAGGATGGGACGGAGACAGGGAAATGGGGCGTGGGGACAGGGTGCATAGGGGCGCAGGGCTGGAGGCGTGGATGTGGGGGCAAGGGGATGGGCGCAGGGTGGGGCGGCCATGGGTGGTGCAGTAGGGTGGGTGGATGTTTGGGGGCAGTGGTGCGTGGGTGGTGATGGGCCAGTTGACAGCAGCGGGAGTTGGCGAGGGTAGAGCCTGCCAGGTGCGAGGGAGGGGCAGATATTTCCTGCCCCTTCAACATGCCCAAACAAAAAGTTAGACCAGTTCCGTGCGTTTCTGACAACCGGGAAGACGCAGAACCAAAGAAAAAAGAATAAAAACAAGCGACCCCCGCGGACCTCACCCCCGCTCCTGGGCTTGGCTCCACCACCCCCGTGCGCAGGTGTGGCGACCCAGGTTCTGACTCCAGTTTCCTTGCAGGGGTCCTTGCATGACAACCCTGATCATAGGGAAAGAATGTCAGAAGTGCACCTGGCCCTCGGGACTGTTTTGGTTGCTGTTTTCTTCAGAACTATCCCTTTTCTCCTATTTTTCAAGTTTGGTATGAGAATGAAGTCCTATCGGTTGCATCTTTATTTACTTCTCATGTTTATTTATCTGTCCTCCTTTTCTTGTATCACAAAGAATAAGGGCTTACTCACACTGCCCCCTTTTTCGCTTTTAATTCGTATGGGAATAGGGTGAGCACTGACGTTTGAATCGAATGCAGTGGTTCGTTACGTTGCATGCACCGGAACATTCAGGAAGAGCACTACTGAAACGAGCCAATGTCCATATTTTGCCAGAAATAGGTGTTGGTCCAGTCACAGACACAGGTCCCTTTTTTTTTTTTTTTTTTTCTAAGGAGTAACGACCTTGACGGATCATTATTGGATTGGCTGGCATCAGGTAATTCACAGTTATTTTATTCACGTGATTCAGACTCAGTCTGTTTATCAACAGTTACATGGGTCTGCCATTCGCCCACATGTTAATAGTATGTTTGCCAGGACAGAAATCCGTGGCCACACGGACTCGAACTGGTGATCTCAGCCATAACGCCGGATGTCTTAACCACTGCAACTGGGACACGGTGTTCAAAACTGAAGCCGTACCGGCCCCCGCCCACCCCAGCACAGTTGCAGTGGAAGATACTCAACTCAACACCCGACATGGTCTCCACAACTGAAGCCATCGGCAGGTACATTTCCAAACAGTGCCGCGTCAAGCGCCCTTAACTCTAACCCCACCACCACTTCCAGGTGATCTTCTCCTGGCAGTTTGTAGTGCTCGCATACTGTTAATGACATGTTTGCCAAGATCGAAGTCCGTGGCCACACAGACTCAAGGGGCTGCGTGCGCAGATCTCTTTTTCTCTTCTTTGTCAGAAGAAGAAAACAAAAAAAAGAATGCATTGGCCAACACGCTAATCGCCAGAAATATATCCAAGGATGTTCTGGCATGCCCACAGCTTGTCACGTGCACTGTTGCCAATGTGTTTTGGAATTTTTGGCTGATTGCACTCGAGCCTCGTCAGGAGTCTTTCCCACATCCCTTTCCCTTGCTGTGCATTCTGTTCTTGCCATCCAACTGAGCGTAGAGGGCCGATCTGGTCTTGCCCACTAACGGTAGAGTTGAAAACGGATGCAGATGGAGGTGAATGTCAGAAACAGACGGGCTGAGGAGGAGCGAGGCGAGAACGAGGAGTAAGAAAGAGGATGAGATGGGATCAGGACAAGCACAGGTAAGTGAATGTAGGAGGAGGAGAAACACCTGTAGTAGGTTGAGAAGCAGAGAGGGGTGAGGGGGGAGAAGTAACAGGAGAATGGGAACGGGGACGAGTAGGGAAGCGACAGAGAGGTAGATGAGGAGAAGGGGAAACAACAATAGCTGGATGAGAAATGAATAAGGGAGAGGTGGAGGAGCGCAAGGAGTGCAACAAGATGAGCGGGATGTGGCATACACTGTACCACACGGGCCCAAGATCTTTCACAGCAATTTGCTTCTCGTATAGACGAAGTAGAAGAAATGTTAACAAACAATCGTATTTGGAAACAACTTTCCTGGGATTTGCGAAAAGCCGGGCCCGACCAGGTAGGGATAGGGATTAGTAGGGGTTAGCAGTAGTCTGGGAAAGTGCCACATTGGGGCCCGTAGGTTCAGGGTAGGACCAGAACCTGATTTTAGGCCTGGCACGACGTTTCAGTTAGCACCAGGCCCTCGGACAGTACCAGCGCCATTCAGGCCCAGTTAGGCCCAGTTTCGCGCAGACCCTGTTTCGGGTCTGCAGCAGTTAGGCACCAAGACCGTTGGCGCCACAGGTTTGTGTTTGGCGCCCATTCAGCAGAGGCCCTGGTCTGATGGTCGGCCTCCTGGCAGTCCCAGCGCTATTTATAGTTGGATTGTCCGTAGACAGACAGGATTCGACAGGTATTGTAGCGGTACACTTCGTAGTATTAGCGATAGTCGGCGATAGCAGTAGGGAGGCAGGACTTCAGCGGTACACCGCAGCAGAGAGAGAGAGAGAGAGAGAGAGAGAGAGAGAGAGAGAGAGAGAGAGAGAGAGAGAGAGAGAGAGAGAGAGAG